TCGTGCACCAACTGCCTGGCGTGAATGCCATCAATCTGTCATCATACTTGAACTATTTTGTTAGCTGTTAGCCATAGCAATGCGTGTTTGTACTAACAGATCATATTTGGACAGGAGACATGGAGACAACACGTCACTGGAGGAAAGCTTCGGGAAATTACCGAGGAAGCCAAGGCTTTTGCAATTGGAAACAAGGCTTTAGCTGCTCTCTTTGTTCATACGCCAGCTGGTGAATTGCAACGCCAGATCCGAGCATGGCTTGCAGAGAACTTTGAGTTTTTATCTGTAACTGGTGGAGATGTTGCTGGAGCTTCCGGGCAACTTGAATTATTATCAACTGCTATTATGGATGGATGGATGGCTGGCCTTGGTACTGCGAGACCCCCCTCAACTGATGCTTTGGGTCAACTGTTATCCGAGTACACAAAACGAGTTTACACATCCCAACTACATCACTTGAAGGTTTTATTTACCTGTCTCACCACCTAGTCCAATAATATAGTAAAACTGTTCTCTTATGATCTTATTCTTCACAAAATTGCAGGACATTGCTGGCACATTGGCTACAGAGGTGGCTGATGATCCCGCTCATGTCAGTAAGCTACGATCTGCTCTAGAGTCAGTCGATCACAAAAGAAGAAAGGTGCTTGACTGCTTGTCTCCCTCGTAAATTTTCATCTTTCAACCTGGCGCAATTGCCATTTTTCTCAAAGTTATATCCTCCAATGTGTAGAATAAAGCACTGAAATCCATGTATAAAGCACCGCAATTGCCACTTTTGAAATTCACATTGTTACAAATTAGATTGATTTGGTTAGATTGGATGTTTACCTTTAATTTCGACATTATTTCTCACAAGTCAAGGCATTGCATCTTATGCATCAAGCAAATATGAATTAAACAAAATCTCCAAGTTTCTACAGTCATGCTGTGGTTATTTCTTGACCTGCTATTCCAGACCAATTGACCCACCCTACCTAGCACCGTCTACCTCAAATCATCATTGCACACCAATCCATGACAGATGTTTACCCTTGTTAGGATTTTTTTTTCTTCCTCTGCTTCTTGGTTTGAACACTCATGCTAGTTTTTTATTCATGAACTTATAGGAGTATGAATGTCAGTGGCATGTCCTCAGGGGATCACATTCATATAGTACTTACAACTATATTTTTGCATTAATTTCATAGCTTGATTGATAGATTCTTAGTATTTTTTTCTTCCTCTGCTTCTTGGTTAGAACGCTCATGCTAGTTTTTTATTTATGAACTTATAGGAGTATGAATATCAGTGGCATGTCCTCAGGGGATCACATTCATATAGTACTTGCAACTATATTTTTTTGCATTAATTTCATATGATTGATAGATTCTTAGTATTTGGGTGGCTTTTCGTACTCATGGCATCTCATGCTGTCATACTCTTATCAGATCATGCAACAAATGCGAACGGATACTGTCTTGTTAACCAAAGAAGAAGGTGGTTCACCTATCCGAAATCCTCCAACTGCTGCTGAAGATGCACGATTGGCATCTCTCATATCTTTAGACAACATCATAAAACAAGTGAAGGTCTGATGCTGTCCATTTATGTCTAGTTGTGAAGGACTTTTGAGTTTCCACATGAAACATGTTTACTAACTAGCCATATTTGGTCATTCATGTGACGACAGGAAGTAATGAGACAAAGTTCAGCAAGGCCATTGAGAAAATCAAAAAAGAAAGCGTTGCTAGAATCATTGGATGATCTATTGGCACAAATGCCTTCTCTTCTTGACGTTGATCATCCTTGTGCTCAGAAGCAGATCATGGAAGCAAGGAAAGTTGTAGAGGTATGTATATTGAATGTTGGAATATTTGCAGCCTTCAAATAGAGTAAAGTAATAATAATAAGTAAAAAGCAATGACAGGATCTTTTGTGAGAGAAGTGACAAAAGCTAGTTTTCCCTACATTTTACTCCCTCTGTCCCATAATATAAGGGATTTTAAAGGAATGTGTCACATCCTTACTGTCTAGATTCATAGTACTAGGATATGTCACATCCTTCCAAAATCCTTTGTATTTTGGGACGCAGGGAGTATGCTAGAATATAAGTGGAGGCTGGAGGGTTTAAGTGATCTATTTCATTTCTCACCTAAATCCTCTACATATACAATTTTTTTTGTTCAGATTTATTACATATATCTAATATAAATGAACTAAACATTATTCTCCATGAATCTTTGGATATATTTTTAGTCTTGGCATTACCTAGGTAGTTTACATTTTCTATGGATATTAGATTTGTGATAGGTGGTAGCAATTAATTGTTGACACGGTGACACATCATAAGTTAGTCTCGCCTTCAGCATAACTTATGCATTGCAAGAGTTTAGATTCTTTGACAAGTTGAAACTACCTTGGGAAAGATAAGCCCAACACCCTACCTTTTAGCTATGTTCATTTAGTTTAGCTGATACAATACTATCATCTCACGTGCAGTCACTGCAAGAGGATCCCGATGAACCTGCCACAGATTTGAATTCAAACACACTGGGCGAGAGCGAAGTTTCACAGTGGAACGTACTACAGTTCAACACTGGAACATCAGCCCCATTCATCATAAAATGTGGAGCAAATTCGAGCTGTGAACTGGTCATTAAGGCTGACCAAAAAATTCAGGAACCTAAAGGTGATGAGATAATCCGAGTTGTTCCAAAGCCATCAGTTCTTGCAGAAATGAGCTTTGAGGAAATAAAAGGTGTCTTTGAGGAATTACCAGAAGCAATCAGCTTGCTTGCCCTGGCACGAACCGCCGATGGTACAAGAGCCAGATATTCTAGACTGTACAGAACTCTAGCTAACAAAGTACCAGCCTTGAAAGACATCGTTGCGGAGATGGAGAAAGGTGGTGTTTTCAAGGATGTCAGATCATAGTTTTAGTTCATTCTTAGAGTTTATATATTACTCCCTATGTTGTATATGGATGCCAATTGAGGGCATTCGGTGTAACTTCCTTTTTTTTGTTTATACAATGAACAAGCCTATGTTGTAACATTATTTTTTGGTCGAGAGAGTTACTTTGCCTCTCTGATTGCCATACTCAGGATGCTTGATGTTTCATAATATTAAGGCAGCCGTAGCTGATAAATGCTTGTTCAAAGCAGCAACTTTGATACTACCCATCCTTCTATTTGGACCATTTGTTTGAACAGCAGGTATCACTTGTCAAATTTAGTAGGAAATGCAGAGATGAGTAAATGATCTTTTGAAGGTGTTAGCTTTTAGTTTAAACCGAGTTTCTGTGCTGATTTTGAATTTTAGAAACTTGATTTTGGAACTAGTTTAGGGGTTTTTCTTTATCAATTGTTTGCATGATAATCTTTATCAATTTATTTTATTTTGTCAAACTTTTGAAACTTTAACCATCAATAAATGTCAAAATATTTAGTTTTAAAACATAAAACAATATAGATAGACTTTTCTTTATGAGCACTTCTATAATATCATAATTGTGTTTGATATTCTTTTAAATTTGAATAGAAAAATAATGGTCGAAATTGCACACTAAAAACCAAATAAAGTCATATTTTTAGTGGGCCTGTTCTTTTTTTTTTCTTTTTTCTTTTCTTTTTTTGCAGTTATATGGTTGCAGTTGCAAACCGGCAAAGGTGGTCTGTGTCTTGTCTTAGCTGACACTGCAGCTATAGCAACGCTACAACCCCCCTCCGACCGAACAGACCCAATATAGAGGTGTTACTAAATCCTTCTTAGAAATTGAAGTTTGAATTATGCAGTTTTTTTTTGAATTATGAATTATGCAGTTTGTTTGAATTATGATCAACTGAAACTGAAAAAAAAAGAGTGAATTACATATTGGGCCACATCTTATTACTAGAGTTGCAAGTTGGACTAGGGGTAAACTAATATTGTCACTTTGAACTACTCCCTCCATTTCACAATGTAAGTCATTCTAGCATTTCCCACATTCATGTTGATGTTAATGAATATAGATAGATATATGTGTTTAGATTCATTAACATTAATATGAATGTGGAAAATGCTAGAATGACTTACATTGTGGAACGGAGGAAGTAGGTATTTTTGCACAAGTTTCATATTGGACTGGTGTTTCCTAATTCTCCTCTTTCTTTGCTTCATTGAGTTGAGGCTGATGTCTTTTAGCTCAAGCGTGGTACACCAATGCCACTGATATTGTCCTATGCTCGAGAGTGATCAGATGGCATCAGTGATGGGCTGTTTGATTTGGAGGAAGAGGAGAGGGTGGTGTTAGGTGAAACAAATGGCAATATTATGTGGTCTAAAGTGAAAACCTTGGCTAAGACCTAGTCCAACCCGCAACAAAGGTCAAAATATATGGCCTAAACTGCAATTTACTCAAAAAAAAAAGACGCACTTGTTTCAAGTCTCAACACATCTGTAACTTATATTATGCCCCTCATTTAATAAAAAACCAACTTTTGTAGACGGAGGAAGTAAAAGTACTAACTTATTTCTTTTTTCTTTTGACTAGTTAGCGTAAAAATTAAAGGCAAAATTGGTTACATAACATTGAAAGTTCACGTTTTTTGTTTTATAGCAACAAAAGATACCAATTCACTTTAATAGCACCCTAAATTCACTTCGTTCCTATTTTTAACACTTTCGTTAATTCTCGATTGTTTTTCCGTCCGCCTTGATAGCTATTGACTTAGCCACGCACACGATATGATGTTTCTACCTCTCATTGTCATGTATTCTACTTTTACTTGTGAGGGGTAGAAACGTTATATCGTGTAAGTAGCTGGGTCAATAGCGATTAAGATAGAAAATGATCTAGAATTGACGGAAGAGTTAGAAAAGGAAACGAGGTGAACTTTAGGTGCTACTAAACTGAACGGTATATTTTGGTGCTATAAAAAAAGTTGAACTTCCAATATTATATGACCAATTTTGCCAAAATGAAATTATTCAAGCTTGTCTTCGCGAAATTACGGGCTTTGATGCCAAATCGCCAGCCTCTAATCACTTCGAAACTGTGTTAATAACGAGCAAACACATCGCAAAAGCTAGTCGCCTATCACGGCCTCCGCCGCCGCCGCTTCGGCAGCTTGCCTCCTCGTCTCGCCGGCGCAGGCGGCGCCTGCATCTATCCATCCATCCACCCACCCACGCCACCCTCCCGTTCCGATTCGGCGCACGCGGCTGCTAGACACCGCGTTCCTGACCCGCCGCGAATGTCGGGGACGCCTCTTCCCCCACCGGCGCAGCCGCCGCCGCCGCCGGGGGCCGCCGGGCCCGATGGCGCGGCGGCGCTCCCGCCCCCGCCGGGCACGGACATGACCGGGATCTGCTTCCGCGACCAGCTCTGGCTCAACACCTACCCGCTCGACCGCAACCTCGTCTTCGACTACTTCGCGCTCTCCCCCTTCTACGACCTCACCTGCAACAACGAGTCCCTCCGCTCGCGCCAAATCCACCCCCTCGACATGTCCCACCTCACGTAAAACCCTAGCCACCCCCCCCCCCCCCCCCCAAATCCCCAATCCCCCCCTACTTCTCGCCAGCTCGCCGGAGTTGGGAGGTTTTAGATGGTTCTTCTTCCGCTCACTGGTGGTGGTGGTGGTCGCAGGAAGATGACGGGGATGGAGTACGTGCTCAGCGACGTGATGGAGCCGCACCTGTTCGTGATCCGGAAGCAGAGGCGGGAGAGCCCCGAGAAGTCCAACGCCATGCTCGCCTACTACATCCTCGATGGCTCCATCTACCAGGCGCCCCAGCTCTGCAGCGTCTTCGCGTCCCGCATCGTAAGCCCTCCTCCTCCTTTTGCTTAAATCGTGCAATTGGGGGGAGTTGAGCGTTGCAACCAATCTGTGGATTTTACCAAGCTAGATGCAGATTTTTGGATTGACTTGTTTAACTTTCTTGCGACATTGCAGAGTAGGGCTATGCATCACATCTCAAAAGCTTTTACTACGGCATGTTCAAAGTTGGAGAAAATTGGGCATGGTATGGTACTCACGTCCCATGCTCTCTTTTGTTCTTTCTTGTTTCACACATTTGGAGCATTCCTTGTGCGCAATTTATGATTGCTAACTTGACCTCTTCACTGGCACTTAGATCAAACTTTTGTTGCATCGACAGGGAAATGTTCTTGCACGTCATTTAGCTGATCTTATGTTTTATGTTCCTCTCAAATTAGAAAAAGCGTAACTATGAATAGTTAGTAGCATTATTGGTCATGATAATGCGCCATTAATTTGTTGTTAGGTTCAAAATAGGTATACCATATACAATTCTGGGAATACCTCCAAGGCTGAAGTTTCAATTTTACAAATCATTTCATTTAAAAATTGGCACTTCCAGCAAATCCCTCTAATAAACGATGGTAAATCTAAAACGTACCCCTGTTCTTTACATCCCTGTTGGATTTACTTTCATCCTTGTTTGCCATAATTCACAATTAGCTTCTTCCCCAAATTTTGCTATTTGTTAATACCTGGTTTCTTGGTTTTAGAACTTTAAAACTCATGCGCACCGTGCTTCCAGATTTCTGTTCAAATGGGTGGATTCATCATGCCCCTATCTATCTTCATGGTTGTTGTTTTGTCAACCTGATAATAGCAGCAACTCTTGTTTGACAGCACAGGGCCAAAATGAAGATGAAATGTATAAAATTGTGTCCATAGTTTTGTTTTGGTTAAATAGAGAGTTTTGTGGTTTAGATGTAGACCTTTTGTGATTTTTGTCCATAGTTTTGTTTTGGTTAAATAGAGAGTTTTGTGGTTTAGATGTAGACCTTTTGTGATTTTTAGAGCCAGATCACAATGCTCAATGATACAAAACTGTACAATTATGAGACAGTATTGGTTTGTAAGAGAATTTAAATTTTATCTCTGTTCTCAGATCCATTTGCCTGATATTCTTAACAATTTCCTGTTACTACTTTTTTTTTGGGATCATTTATAGTTAGTTACTTCCTCCGTTTCACAATGTAAGACTTTCTAGCGTTGCCCATATTCATATAAATGTTAATGAATCTAGGCATATATATGTGTCTAGATTCATTAACATCTATATGAATATGGGCAATGCTAGAAAGTTTTATAATATGAAACGGAGGGAGTATTCTGTATGCAGTTTGGGTTTCTGTTGACCATTATGTTATATGTGCAAATTGCTCTGAATTTTGAACACCGCCGTGCACCATTGTGAGTAACTTGTTGCTGCTTTGTGGGTCAGAAATGACAAGATGTGATTGTTTGCTATTTTGTGTATCAACTATTGTTCAGTGCAAATTTATGGTGACATTTCTGTGTGTGTGGGGGGCAGGGGGCAAATCGACACTGTCTATTCATTGGTTGTTGCAGAGATTCCTTGAAAGTACTATTGATGCCAAATGACTAAAACAGAGAGTTGTGCCCACTAGTGTTTGAATAGCCTGAAGCTTGGAATTCAAAAACTGAAATGTGAAATAGGATTTCATGCTTTCAGAAATGATCATTCCTGATCTTGACACATTAATAATTGTCAATATTGTGAGTTCTCCTTGGCCATTCAAGATCCGGCATGAGATATTTTGGTACTGTAATTCTCAAACCACATGGTGTCTTCGTTTATGTTATATGTTGTTTCTTTCTCATGATTCTCTCAAACAAAAAGAGAAATTAGTTTCACTTGAATCTGAAATATCTGTTTTCCTGCTTTACAGTGGAAACAGAGCCTGACACAGCAGCTTCTGAATCAAAGACGCAGAAGGAAGCAATTGATTTGAAGGAGTTGAAGCGGGTCGACCATATCCTAATGTCGTTGCAAAGGAAGGTAATATTAAAGTTTTTGTGCCATGATCATCCGATAACGATAGAAAAACTTGCTTTGTTTAGTTGCCTTATAACTCCAGTATGTTTTATTATCTGTGGACAAAAAACAAAATTGTGTCTGATTCATCCTGGAGTAACATCTTGCGGATTTTTTCTGACCACATGCTAATCCTTCTAACGCTCACACATAATAATAGTATTTGTAATCTCATTTGGCCTGTTTTGTCCACCATTTGTTGATTACCTTCGAACTCCTCTGCAGCTGCAACCTGCTCCTCCCCCTCCACCTTTTCCAGAGGGCTATGTACCATCAGAACAAGAGAAAGCATCAGATGATCTGTTGGCCTCAGAGGCACTGCCTCCCCAGGTTGATCCTATCATTGATCAAGGCCCTGCAAAAAGGCCTAGATTCCAATGAGAGAGGTTGCATTGATAAGTTAAATTTGACTAACACCACAATTACCTGTGTTGTAAGTTGATGATTAGATTCTTTCAGTTCCACAGCTCGGAAGTTAAATATAAGTTGTGGTTTCAGTCGTAATGGTTATTTTGAAGGATAAATTCAAGGGAGCATAAATCTGATTAGGTGGTACTGGCTGTTTGTCAGGCCTGTTTCTACTGTGCTAATGTGAAGTGATATTTTACTACTCCTACTATATACGTTAAAAGGAGACATCGTACACCATGCACCACAAGAAGGGGTCAGTGTGTACTTTGTACTCTATCGTTGAATCCTGGTTGGCAATCGTACTCGCCGGTGACTGGTTGTCCTGTTGCCTACTGCTGCCGTTCCAAATTTGATGCCAAACCTACGGAGTACTTGTAATTGTAGGTGGACAAAAAATAGAGGACACGCTACGACTGAAACCATCATGTGCTACAGTCAGACGCGTAAGGATTACTCCCTCCGTCCTTAAAAATTCCTTACTCCTCCGTCCTTAAAAAAAAAAAGACAAACCCTGATTTCCGTGCCCAATGTTTGACCGTCCGTCTTATTTGAAAAAATTATAAAAAAAATTAAAAAGACAAGTCACGCATAAAATATTAATCATGTTTTATTATCTAACAACAATGAAAATACGAATTATAAAAAAATTTCATATAAGACGGACCGTTAAAGTTGGACACGGAAATCTAGGGTTTGACTTTTTTTTGGACAGAGGGAGTACTAGAAATGTAGCATGGGTATGGAACGTAAAAGACAGCTTGCTTGTTGCCCCGTCCGGTATGATGATTATTGTTTAGAATTGTTTCAATATAACGTTGGACGTCAGCACAACGGTAGAAGAGCATCTCCAACAGAGTAGCTATCTCACTCTACAAGTTAAATTTTAGTAATTTTAAACAGAAAACACACTACAACATACTTGCTAACCGATGGCCAGCCAACTCCTCACGTTGGTCAAATGCCAGCCAAAATTGCCTTGCCAATCGTGGGCCCCACGCATGGGTCCTACATATTTTGCCATTTCCCCTCTATTGTATTCTCTCTCCCTCCCCTCCCCAGATCGAGCACGCCCCATGGAACACGCCGTCGCCGGCGGCCCTCCGCCGCTCCGTCGTCTGCTATCGTGCCGCCTTTTGTTGAGCAGAGGAGCGCCGCCACAATCCGCCTAGTTGTGGTGAGCCGTGGAGCGCCAAGGAGTGCCGGTGATAGGCACCAACCAAGAGCTGCCACCAGCCTGCATCACCGATTTCCTCTGTCGTCACCTCCATCGCTGATTTCTGCCACCGTGAAATCCCCCCGCAAGCATGGCTGCCATCGCCGAAGAATTGCCCTGAGCATCGCCGTGGCCTCCCACTTGCCACCTGCTCTCGAGCGCCGGAGAGAGAGAAGAAGGGGCGAGCGGCGGCGGCGTCAAGGTGGGAGAAGGGAGCGGTGGCGCCAATGTGATAGGAGACGAGGCAGCATAGGGGCCGGCGAGGGAGGGCTTCGTTATTGCCTCGGATCCACTGTCTGCCATCACCGTTGCCACACATGGCTTGGGAAAGAGGGGAAGAAAAGATGAGGAAGAACGGGTAGTAGAGGCTGACATCGGGTCCCACTGTCATAGATTCAGAATAGAGGGTAGATGGAGAGTCTGTTGGAGTGAGCAACGAGTTTGACACAAATTTTGACAATTTAACCCTTTACCAAAACTAATTTTACAAATGAACCGTGGCCAAAACTTATTTAAAAAATGACCCTTTTGTTCAGCACCAAATCGTATGGCGCTGAACTTAGACACCTCAACACCAAATAGCACGACGTTGAATGCACGTTGGCACACCAACTCAGCCTCCCATATATCCACGGTGGCACGGCATTCAGCGCCAGTTGACGTGGCGCTGAGGTGCCTAAGTTCAGCGCCATACGATTTGGTGCTGAACAAAAGGGTCATTTCTGAAATAAGTTTTGGTCACGGTTCATTTGTAAAATTAGTTTTTGCAAATGGTCAAATTGTTAAAATTTGTGATGAGTTTGACTTGCTAAATTAATGGAGAGTTGGTTATATGGGTGTTTGGAGAGCCTAATTTGGGTAGTCTGTTGGAGATTCTCTAACAAAATAGCGTATCTGATACAACTCATCCTAAATGTTTTTTTGCCTAATAAAAATTCCACAAATTTTGACAATTTGACCCTTTGCAAAAACTAATTTTACAAATGAATCGCGGCGAAAACTTATTTCAGAAATGACCCATTTGTTCAGCGCCAAATCGTATGGCGCTGAACTTAATTAGACACCTCAGCGCCACGTCAACTGGCGCTGAATGTCGTGCCACCGTGGATGGGAGGCTAAGTCGGCGTGCGAACGTGCATTCAGCGCCGTGTTATTTGGCGCTGAGGTATCTAATTTCAGCACCATACGATTTGGCGCTGAACAAATGGGTCATTTTTGAAATAAGTTTTGGCCACGGTTCATTTATAAAATTAGTTTTGGCAAAAGGTCAAATTGCCAAAATTTGTGTAAAATTTCACACATCCAACTATACTCTCTGTAAATAAAACCAACTTCTAGCTATGTATTTAGATTTTAGACATACTTATATCTAGATACATAGGAGAAATTGGTTTTTTGGGACAGAGGGAGTACACCACAGTCGCGCCTGCCCGCCTACCTTCGTGGGTGCATCCTAGCACATGTCTAAAGAGAGGACTAACCTTCCTGTAGCACGGCTACTCATATTTTTCCTGCATTCAACGTAGCGGTTACTATCTCTTCTGAGAGTAAATCCTAGAAAAAGAGACGATCATACGAGCACCTATCGTAAGTTTAGGGTTTGAACTAGCTAGGCAGGTTTCACTGCAATGTGTGTAGTGTAACCAACTGGAATCATATATATGGCTTTTTTTTAAATCATCAATGATGAACTTATCATAGTTCTAGTAACAGAAATTGTATAAGATGGGCTGCTGATCCACTTTTCACGAATTTATGGTGAAACACTTTTTGTACAAATTGTTTGTAATACATCATAGATTGCTAACAAAAGAGTTTGTGATATGTAGATTAATGCATATTGTTGTTGTCTATAAATAATTATATGTTTTAGCTTTCTTGCATGCTTAATTTGAATTTGGAGAGTTTCTTTATCATCTGAGTACCAAATTCTGACCATTTATTGTGCCGTGTCAAACTATTAGTACTGGGTGGTATTAGCTTAATTAACTATAAGATGGTATCGGCTCAAGGAAGTGAGGTAGAAGGGTAATCTGCCTTTTCATGTGAGATACGAGGCGTCTTTGGTGTTGACTGTTGAGCAAGGTGGCGATGAAGAAGTCGGCGAAATTAGATCCTTGTCATTAGCAACCTCTGCCTCCCATGCCACCCTTCCTCCCAAGCTCGCCGGCTACATTTGAGCTTGCCGATGACCTTCCATTTCTCCACTCTTCTTTGAGTCGTTCCCATCATGGCTCTATTGATTGAACTATTGGATTTTGTTTGGTGTTTAGTAATACGAAATTACCAGCAACTAAAGATGCACGTCAAGAATTGTAAAAGATCTCTTAAATATATCGTATTTGTCTGGCTGAAGATAATGAATTTACTTTCACATGGATAGAAAAGGATATTCTCCTCATGTTCTCTCCATTCATCTTGCTTTGACCTTGTTGAGGCAACGACAGAGGAGTAAAACTTTTATATACGCATTATATTATTAGTAATCTAAAGTTAGTAGCAAGTAGTAACTTTCTATAGTTACTCGGATTTTGCTAAGACCTGCATACTAACAAATTTGACTTGAATTATATGCACCTGTTGGCTAATTAAATCATTGGGCCAGATTGCTTTATTTGGATGGTCTCGTCCTAATTGGTAGGAGTACCTACTTGTCAAGTTGGTAAAAAATATGGGATACCAAGAATAGTTTGGTAGAATGACATTAACTAAGAAGAAAAATAACATACAATATTATTCATGACTAATTTAATTTTGGGGAAGTGATGAGCAACCGAGGCCTTGAGGGGAGCTGGACTTGAGAGCAAGCCAGGCACCGGCGCATGCTAGATTTCTACCAACTGTACTAGTAGGCATATTTTGTTGAGAAACACATTACAAAATATAGGCGCTTATAACACGCACACACTTATATACTTATATGAATGCACATATGCACACTCTATACGAGCACCTCCGAAAGACTAGATCGATATATTTTGAGATTGACTAAGTCACCACAAACATATCTATGTCAAAGAGTATATCATCTACCACTAAAAAAATAACTATGCGTAAATACGAGCATACGTGTCAAGTTTAGAACTTGAACCTGGTAGGTTGGTTCCACTGCAATAAAATATAATCGGATGATTTGCAATCACTTCGCGATTGCAGTACTTATATTACTGCTACTTTCCAAAAATATAATCATATATCAATTATATTTGAAGTTGATATTAGTCCCATTTGTTTTCTAACTAGAATCTGCAGAACAAACGATTATCCAGATTTATTCTAAAAAGTTTTTTTCTAAAAAAAATGAAGGCAGTAGCTACTTCCACAAACTCCACCCTGTTTGTTTTCATGATATACCAAGAATATAAAATCCTATGCTGCCCCATAACTCGCCCACCAAATGCTACCCCAACAACACCGCACAAATAGGACAATATATCCAATGTCATATCGACTTACAATATTATTCTCTAGTTTTAATTATGTGGCTAATCGAGGTGTCAACTTAAATAAGAACAGATGAGGTACTTAAATGAGGTACTCCCATCCTTTCATAAGATTTGGCAATTTTGATTGGCAACTACTCTAAGGATAAATATATGTGACCGCTAATATGATGTACTCCTTTCATCCTTAAAGGAAAAATAACTTCTAGCTATGGATCTTAAACATCTATGTTAAAATTTATAGTTAGAAGTTATTTTACATATTGAATAAATCATTTTAACCATGATGAACAAGATTTGTATATTTATGCTTATGCTTTAATAATATGGTATATTTTAAAATATTTTTATATTTATTTATAAAATGGTAGCCGGAAAATAAAACTCAACCAAAAGCAAATACACTTCTTCCGTCTACCAATCTTTACCTATTATAAAAATATAAAAATTGAAGATGATTCCATACACACTTTAATTTACGTCCGTCTAAAATTTGAAGATGATTCCATACAAAAACCCGGATCAGACAGATGGACCGACCCG